TTGTCATCCTTGTATGTAAAATGGGTGCTGGGGGTGGTGGGGTAGATGAGGGAGAATGTGTGTGTGCGTGCGCGTGCGCACTCTCGGGCTGGGATAGATAAGCTACCTGGTAAAGGGTACATTTGAACATTTATGAAGTGTTATACTTTTTATTAAAAGAAAAATGTTTTGGGGTTTAAAAAAATGGACCATCATTTCTCATTGGAACCCATCAGTTAAGAAAACCGGCATGGTTTGACACCGCATTGGAACATGAATATCTTTTTCTCATGCTTTGAAAAGTACACTTGGCAAAATTTTAAAAATAAAGTTTTTAGACAAATGCGATAAGAAACAGTCATTACAAAAGGTGATCTTTTGTAATTTTCATAAAGCAGTTCGTTTGCAGTATGGCTTTGTGTAGTTAGGGGTGTTTTAAGTGTAAAGAAAGGTATGTGGGCTTTAAAAGTGATTCTAAATCTTGAATAGAAAACATGAATTGGCTTTAATAAATATGTCACCTTTTTATTATTGACATTAATTTAAGTAATGGTACCGTGTATATTTTAAAATGCATATTGACTTGAATTGTGAGGCAATCAGATACCTTCTGTATGTAATGATCACAGAACTAACCCTTATAGTTTTACTTATTTTGTTTACTCTAAAATCTATAGCAGAGTTTCTCTATTTTATATTTCATAGATTTAAAAAACCCAAATAAAGATGGATTTTAAATTCACTGTGGAAAATAGTATTAACAAACTGAATTTAAAAAAGGAAGGAATTCCTTAGTAATCTGGAATATTCTACATGACTTTATTACATAGTATATAAGACCACGATTTAGAGGACCATCTTCAACATCACTGCCATCTTGAAGCAGGGTACACACGTTAGGTATTGCAAAAAACATCAATCCAAACTTTTCTTCTGTTGTTTGCACTGATGCTAATTTTTTGTTTTTTTATGTTTATACAACATGTCTATGTTGTGTGGGGGAAATTTTTTCCTTTTTGATTTTTTATGTTTTGGCTAAGTAGAGGACATGGACTAGTTATAGCAAACAAAACACACTGTTTGCTCTTGCCAAAGGTCAGTGAGTGAGTACATTTGCTGCAGTGGTGGCTGGCTTAGAAAACTAGATCATGACAAAGACTTAAAACTATGAAGTGTAACTATTTTGGTACTAGAACCAGTTCATGCTGGCCGAAAAGACAATGGTTTATGGACTTGCATCCATTTTGTATTTTTGTAATATTTGTAAATATGAACTTTTTAAATTGTTGCAAAAATGGTTTCTTTTGTAAGATGTTTTCAACGTTTACATTCAATTCAAGCCTTTGTATATTTTAGAGCTGTGCAACACCTTAAGTCTTGTATTTATTTTTAGTAAAAATGGTGACAGTTTCATTGTGAACCCCTCTCAAAAAAATGTACCAGGAAAGTTTGATTACCTAGAAAGTGTGTATAGAAACTGCAAATAAACGTGACTGCGATTAAACAACCGGTTTCTCTCTTTATTGTTATATAATTGGGGTTTCACAGACACAAGCATTATATAGGGAACTGGACATAAAGGAGGGGTAACTGCTATGGCAAAAGTATGAGCAAAATAATAATAATACTGTCTCTACAATGGGCTCTAATCTAGCTTTGTATTTGAGAGGAAGAAACACATTTCCAATGTCAGATATACTTCCCTTGTAGCCCCTATCTGGGCCAGGAAAAGATTTCCTGGCTTAACTTTGTAATATTCACCTTTGCTTCTGATTAAGTACTCAGACTGTGCCACACTGTGTCTCCTTCCCAAGATGGGCAGCCTCGCGATGATATATAGATACAGATATATGTAAGACATCATGCCACTAAATATCATGTACCCTTTATTACATAGCAAATTCATGCACCAGATACTCTTCTAAGTGCTTTACTTACTCTAACTCATGTACTCCCCATATTGTGCCCATTTTACAGGTGGGGAAACTAAAAGCACAGAGCATTACTTGACTTGCCCAGAGCCACAGAGCAACTAATTGTTGGGGCTGGGGTTCCAATCCAGAAAATTGGCTCCAGGGTCGGAATTTGTACCTAACCGCGATAGCTAAAGCCCTACCCCTCTCCCGCTCAAATTCAAACACTGAAGGGCACAACTAGGGTCCACGCAACCTCGACTTCTGTGGCGCATTATTGGGAGGGGGAGGGGCGGAATTACGTTAAAAAGAAAGCTTCCAAGCACCAACCACTGACAGAGTGGACGCCACGCGCCTGAATGCCACACCCCCGCGAGCTGCCTCGGGGAACCCTCCCAGCCACCGAACTGTTGCGCGCGCATGCGCACGTCGCTCCTGCGCAGCAGCCCCAGAAACCCCTCTCAGCTATGGAGGATCGCGCCTGCGGTCTAGCGCCGGGTTCCAATCCCACCAGCCTCCGCGAACCGAAATCTGGGATGTCGGCCCGGCAGCTGCGCAGTGGGAAGCAAAGTCCCTTCCCTAGGCTGTCTCCTTAGCAACGTCCTGCTCCCCAAGGGCTACGCATGCGCCCTCGGGGTTGCT